AGTGCTCGTAGTAGTTGAAGCCTGAGTCGTAGTGCTCGTAGTAGTCGAAGCCTGAGTGCTCGTAGTAGTTGAAGCCCGAGTCGTAGTGCTCGTAGTAGTCGAAGCCTGAGTGCTCGTAGTAGTCGAAGCCTGAGTGCTCGTAGTCGTCGACGCCTGAGTCGTAGTGCTCGTAGTAGTCGAAGCCTTAGTCGTAGTACTCGTAGTAGTCGAAGCCTGAGTCGTAGTGCTCGTAGTAGTCGAAGCCTGAGTGCTCGTAGTCGTCGAAGCCTGAGTGCTCGTAGTGCTCGTAGTAGTCGAAGCCTTAGTCGTAGTGATCGTAGTAGTCGAAGCCTGAGTCGTAGTGCTCGTAGTAGTCGAAGCCTGAGTCGTAGTGCTCGTAGTAGTCGAAGCCTGAGTCGTAGTGCTCGTAGTAGTTGAAGCCTGAGTCGTAGTGCTCGTAGTAGTCGAAGCCTGAGTGCTCGTAGTCGTCGAAGCCTGAGTCGTAGTGCTCGTAGTAGAAGCCTGAGTCGTAGTGCTCGTAGTAGTCGAAGCCTGAGTGCTCGTAGTCGTCGAAGCCTGAGTCGTAGTGCTCGTAGTAGAAGCCTGAGTCGTAGTGCTCGTAGTAGAAGCCTGAGTCGTAGTGCTCGTAGTAGTCGAAGCCTGAGTCGGAGTGCTCGTAGTAGTCGAAGCCTGAGTGCTCGTAGTCGTCGAAGAGCTCACCTCGTTGAGTCCACGAGTCATATCAGAATCCAACATACGTTGATGATCAATATAATCCTTGCTAATAGTATCTAATCTACGTTCATAACTTTGTCTAGAAGTATCTAAGTCCACAGCCGAGGCCTCATGAACGGTCCCCATGCTATTAGGAACTGATGAAGAAATAGAGAAGTCGCAATTGTTGTAAGTAAGTCCAAGGTCCTTCGGCGCAACTTGATCCACTCCATAGGTCTTCACGGCTCCGCATGTCAGAGAGAGCAGAGAGAAAATAGACAGCACGGTATGGGCGCGGGCAACCATCATAGGAGAGGGTAAAATTGAGGAACTGAAGAATAGTAGAAAATCAATAAACTGAACAACTGACTTTGAATTGGACATTGTTGGATGAGGCACGAGGGGAGAGGGCGTAGAGCGAGCGCAACGTATTGAAACGACTGTAGGTATCTCACCAAGCGTTTGCGTGCAAAAACTTTGTGACACTCTCCTTCGTGCGGAGAAGCCTGCAGGGAACAACCGTGTCAGGGGTCGTTCAATAAACCGATTTCGGAAATCAGAATCGGTTCCAGAATTGTTTATTACACGTATAATACGGTGATAGAATCGATTCTTAATTCCACAATTGATTCAATGAACATGGGGTTAGACTTCAGACTTCACATACTTCACTGCTGAGCTTCCACTTGCTCACAAATGCTATCCTGTTGTCCAAATCACGCGGG